AGATGGCGAAAAGGGCGCCACAAACCACACCAAATCGAATGAATGTCGCAAAAGTAATTTAGACAATGACTTTCCCAATGGACTACTCGTCGTATTTGTATTACTGTTGATAATTGGCATCATTTTATTGGTATCAGTTGTGGTCTTATATATTAGACTCAGAGGAATGAAAGCAATTGTCGAGGAATACAGTACTGAAGAGAACACAATACTTACTATTTACAAATACTAATACCTTATTATCTTTAATGGATACTACTGTAGTGAATACTATTATAATAGTAATAACTTTGTATTTGCTTTAACTTTATTTTTCATGTGTATTAACTTAAATTTAAAAGTTATTTTCAAAACATTACATTCATGCAAATTGGTTGAAATATATAAAAATATTAATAGTGCTTTTAATAAGTATAATAAGTATTTTTATTAATACATGACATATAAAAATAAAATAAGAAAACAACATAAATATAGATAATTATTATTGATAATATCCATTAACACATGTGTTGATTAAACTATTTCCAACACTTTCTTATGGATAAATAACTATTTTATTAATAAATACCATTCAATAAACAGCCATAAAATTATTAATATCTAAATATTATTTTACGATAATAACAATTTTATCGTTAGTGGTTTACTATACATACGCAATTTTACAATGTAATAAGCATAAATATTGCATTATTAAAATATAAACTTTACGTTGAATTATATATAGTTTAAAATAATAATTTAAATAATAAATTCTTGTGAAATGTCTACAAAAACATACAGTAAATTATCATTTGATCGCTTCGGCGATGATATGTGTGAACTGGTGTTAAGTTACTTATCATTAGAGGACAGACACCGACTGGAGTGCGTTTCGCCACAATTTCAACGCTGTATTTATCAAACAATATACGACTACACCATTGATGAGACACTATTCATTAAATTGCGTAAAACCAGTGCATTGGGCGCCGAGACGACTGACGCCAACAAATTCAAGACATTCATTAAAAAGTTGGCACAAATTCGCAAACTTATTGTCAAATACAACACGTTTTGGTGCCGTTTCGGGCAATTGGTGCTAATGTTAGACCACGCGGTCAAACACTGTCCGGACTTGTCGGCCATCGAGTGCCACTTTGTGCACATCACCGACGACAAGGCCAACCGACTGTTCGCCCGGTTCGCCGACAAACTCACCGCAATCGTGATCTACATACAGGAAAACGTGTACAGGGGTCGCGTGTTTAGCATCAACAACGTGCGACTATGCACTCGGCTCCGGGAGCTGAACGTGGTATTTTTGGCCATCGTGTTTCACGGCCGCAACAACTGTCTGGTTCGCGATCTGCGCGACATTACCTTCTGCTACACGACATCCGATCAGCAATTGTTGTCCGCGTTTATGGCCAGTAATAGCCAGACATTGGAGTCGGTGTCGGTGTATCTGACCCGACACGTGGACTTGGCTGCGGTGGCGGACCTGTTGTCGCGGTTATCACATGTGCCAAACTTACGCCGTTTGAAACTCAATTTTCTCGACTACTATCCGGTGCACACACTGTGCGAGTCGTTGACCGCCATCGCCGCCAACTGTCCACTACTGGACACATTGCGGCTGAAACTGTTCGCTGAGGCCATTGAGCAAAACATTCAAGTTTTTGAAATTATCAAACTGTTTACAGGTATTCGGAGGCTTGACATTAGCCTCTATACCGGTTACGCACCCGACGAGCCCGTCTACCTGTCGACCCGATCGTTGGCTGAGTGCCGATCACTCACACACCTGACCATTAAAGCCAATCAGTACGCTATTGGCGACGAGTTTTTTGACTCGATTGGCCGCCATTTGCCGCGACTGCGGTATCTGAACGCCTGGAACGCCAATGTGTCGGAACAGGTGTTTGTATGGTTGGCCGGACTGCGGGAGTTGCGTGAATTACATTTGTCCACTTATGTGCCCAAACAAATTGATGAACACTGTGTTCAGGATCTGTTACGCCGTTGTCCTCACCTCAAAGTCGTCGATCTCGAGAACTTCGAGACCGTCGACGACACAGATTTTGATGATAATCAAGTGGTCATTGATTATTGACATACAGTTTATAGTGTCTTATTTTATCAGTGAATTTGTTGTTAATTTCTTGTTTAATTAATTAATTATTAATTAAGTTTGAATTAATTGATTATATTTATATTGTGAGCCAAAATTATTATGATTAATGTTGTTTGTCTCTAATCTATGGCTTTAATATTTAAATTATTATCAATATAAATTATTACTAAATATATTTTATTATAAGTACGCAATTTCTAGGTAAATAAATATTATTTATTTAGTAAATTTTGTAATGGTTGGTAAATACATAGTAATACCATAATAAAACATGTTGCTCCGCAACTTATAATGCAATTGTTTTTAATTATATTTATAATTTTTACTAACAAGTAATTGCAAAGACATTAATTGTCAATAGAAATATTAAAAGTTTTATACAATATGAGAGATTATATACCTGGATGATTAAAATGGCTATGATTATTCTAACCTATGACATTTAAGTATAAAATAAATACTGTATATGCTCAAATCAATCTAATTGAATTATGCATAATAAAACAAATTTTTATTTAATTACTGTACTTACAGTATTATTCAATCATTTAAGTATCATACTTTGCAATATACACAGCATCTAGCCCACTGATCAAAAATATAACAAAAAGGTAATATCCGGCCACATATTTGGTCATTATAGCGTATATGAGACTAAAACTGGCCAACACTATAGACATTATGCCATACGTAGAGCACAGGCATATATTTTCAGTGGCGGCGCCCACAACACCAGCGATCTGTAGCAATATGGCCAATACACCTATCGTGATGATTATTGCCTTTGCCGTGTACTACATCATGTTTAATATAAATTTACAAAGTGTATTAATATTTAATATTTAAAAGTATTAATTAAATAATGTTTAGTTAAATGTTATTTAATTTGGTACTTGATCTTTTTAATACATTTACCATTTTAAAAATAAATAATTCTTAAACCATAGCTAAACAGTGATGAACTTACTTTATCTCTCAACGATCTCGTGTCCATTGGATTGGTTCGGTTGATGGACACCAGATCCACGGCCAACACAATGATGACCGACACGAGCACAATAACGGACAGCACAATTAGCCCCCACCGGAGCCCCCGATACACATTACTCTCTGTCCCTTTGATTGTCATTATAAAACTGTATTCTTATTATTGATAATAAGTTGTTACACAAAATATAATATTTTAAATGAATGTTTTCTAATAAATTACAAAATATATAAAGTGTTATTAAAGTAATGAGAGATTTATTAATAATATGTGCCGTTTTATTAATGAATTTCCTTATTTATATTACGATAATTTGCTCATTCATACAAATAATTGTGATGTTTAATTAAAGTCTAAATTGTTTTGCTAGTGAATAGTCCAGGTAACCAATTATAGCGGCTTAGTTTTTTCTCAAATTATAGTCTCTCTCTCTCTCTCTC